TTATAAGGCTGAGTTCACCTGAAACTCATCAGACTGAAGAAGTCTCTTGGAGGAGAGACGAAACGTTTCACTGAAGAAGAACCCATCCAGAGGACCTACTTATTATTTCTTTTAGATTTTTTTCTACCTGGATTACTGAGATGCATCAGGACGAATTAATTTAATATTTCTGTGAAGTCCAGAACCCGTGACGTGAAAACAGGAGTTTCAAAATAAAACTCTTCAAAATAAGAGTCTGCTCGGTCACAGCTCTCATCGTTAAAGAAGGGAGTCTCAAACTTCCTCTGGGCTTCAGAGAAGAAGAATGATGGATGTCAGAAAAGCTGCTTTAGCAAACTTCAACATTTGTGATGAAACATTTTCATTTGATCTTTTCAGCTTTTTGTTTCTCTCTGGTTCCAGCAGCTGTTTCACAAATCAGACAGCTGAACCCAGAGTCCAGGTTGGAGACCTCTGTTTGTTTTTTTCTGCTTCATGGTGTGTTTGAGTCCCAGACTGAGATCAGAGCAGGCCTCTCCTCAGCCTGCAGCTCACTCAGCTCTGAGGTCTGAAGGATAAACTGAATGTCAGCAGGACTGAAGAACCGGAGCCATCTGACAAAGGTCTCCGAGCTCCCACAGCTTCTGGACGCCTTTGAAGTTCTAAAAGCTTGGCTCTGACAGTTTGGCCACGTGCATTTCCTCTCACTAGAGATGAAAGATGGGAAACAAGTCTACAGGCAGGTGTAGACATGTCAACCCCTCGTCCAAGCTTTTACAGCAAGTTTCACAGTGGAGGAGGAAACGTTTGAGTTGTTTTTATTAAGGATGAGTGTCCCTGTGATGAACTGAGGACATGGCCCTCTCATCTGTTGGCTGCTGGAGATAAACTCCACCCCCTGTAACCCACAACAGGAAGGGATGAGTCGAGAACGTGGACAGATCCACCTGCTCAGAGCGTCATCCCTCAAACAACTGTTAGTAAAAGTTACTGGTGTATTTGTACCAGCGACGTCTTATAGTTGTAGAGGTAACCCTGGTGAAAAAAAAACTTTTCTATTGTTTTTCTTTGTCTTTGATTTTATTTTTTACACTTATAAGAAGAAATCATTTTAAAGTGTTTTTTATTTCCTTTAAGTGAATAGGACAAAGTCCTATATATNGTATAGTGAAATAAACGTCCTTTAGTTCGTCAAATAATACCTTTAAGCAAATTTTGTTGTTTTATGATATTTATAATACTAATATATTGATATTTAGCTCATTTCGATCTATTTTTGACCTAGACCGGGTCCTTCAAAGGACCCAGCCTCTGAATTTGGACACAGCCTTTATTCATACAAATTTCAGAGAAGTAAGCTGTATGTTCTTTTACATCATCCGAGCTAAAAGCTAGCATTGGCTCATTTCACTCTGGAAGGATCCAGTTGTGTTTCTACAAAGCAGACTTGGGGTTTGTCTGAAAACGTCTGATCCTGAAAGGTGAAAGGTCGTAGGAGGGCACCTCTCCCAGACTAAGCTCACACAGGAGTTTCCCAATGATTGGTCCAAACTTGAAGCCATGACCTGCAGAGACAGAGACCGGTGTTACAGGAGGGATGAGTTATAACAGCTGATCTAAGAACGAGCAGAAAGATTCTACAGATCAAAAGAATTTCGTTCAATAAAGTTTTGAATTATATAAAAAAAGCTTTT